CAACTATTCGTAAAACGACAATATGTAAACATCAACTAGTGATTTTTTTTCTCTGAATATATGTAATATTTGTACCTATTTTGTGTTTTGTTTAATCTTTCTTTAAATAAAATTTTTAAAAGAAGTAAAGAAAATTAATAGTACTGGATAAAAGTAAAAGAAATAAAGCCAATAAGGAAAAAAAGAAGAAATAGAGACTAAAGTAAACAATGACAGAGGAACAAATTGAGAGAGCAAAAAAAGAAAAAGATGACCAAAGCAACAAATAATAATAGAAAAAAATAGGAGATAAAACTCCAACCACCACCAAAAAAAGAAAATAAAAAATAAAGGAGAAAAAAAGGTCAAGAAATGTCTCTGTATTTCCAGATCAGTGGTTTCCCTCCAAAACCTGCAGTCTTTGGAACCCAGCAAGTCAAAATCCTCTCTGCCCTGCCTTACAGCCTGTGGATTTGCAAGGTAATGTGTCTGCTCAATAGATTCCCATGTCTGTAAACCCTAGACTGTGAGAGCTGTCCAAACCAAGGTGTTTTCCTGCTCGTGTTGGTACAGGAACAATCAGACCACTGTTCTCTGCTGCATGTGGGCAGCAGGGTGAGGGTCAAGCAGTTTGCTGGACTCCACGCCATCACCTTCAGAGCCAACCACCTCCAGACCCTGGCTCCCACCAGAGTGCAGCCCGTGTCCTCCCTGGCCTGAATTTGACCTTCTCAGGGGAACTGTGTCTAACCCTCACCTGCTCCATCTGTATCCCACAGCTGCCTCGCCTGGCCTCTGTGGTAGGGTAGCACTTTGGTACTCAAGTGAAGCTGCAGTATAGATGCTCTGTGGCTCAGTCCCACAATCAACCCCTTCCCAAAATGGTGCCTGGTTAAGCCCTCTCTGGCAATGTATGGGTTTTGTACCGGGTTTTTTTCCCCAACTCTATCCTGCCTTGAAGAAGTCACTCCCAGGTGAAACACTTTAGTATGGTTTGGTTTTTTTAGTTTACACCAACTGTGGCATTTTTTTGGAGGTAGTAGAGCAGTAGATGAATTTTGAAATTTTGACCTTTAAATTTTCTGGGTGGAGGTAGTTATTGAAAGCCATAGTTTGATTTGGGCATGGATGTTCCAGTTATCTTTTAGTCAATCTGGTAGAGGCTAAACCACAGATGATCTCTGACTTAAATAGGCACAGGAATTTCCCAGGGTGCAAACAAGTGATTCCGATGATGCAGGAGGCCTGAGCTGGGGCTGGATTTCTAACTGTCAAGCTGTGATACCAACGAAGTAGCCAGGAGAGTAGATGCTCAAATATTGGTGAGCTACAAGGATCAAAGGAGAGGTTTCTTTTGATGAATTGGAGTGTGGCCCAAATACAAAAGGCAATCCTCAGAAGTGTGCCTTCTCTGAGAGCCAGACAGAGAAGGCTGCCTAGGAGGCTGGGGGTAGAAAGCCTAATCTGAGGGAAGTGGCCCCAAAAGTCCCTGCTATCTTCTTTGATGGCCCCCTTATTGCATGCTTGCTCCCAAAAGCTTTGCCTCAGTGCCAAGCACACAGGATTATGACCCGGGCCAACATCCTGGATAGAAGCAGAGGCAAACACACCTCTGACTAACACACCTCCTGGGACTAGGTTGCGGAAGGGAGAGGGGCACCCAGCCAGGACCCTCCACTCATGGTCTCTTCAAACTCTTTCAGAACCTGTTCATCATTCAAGAACTTTGGCTTTCCCAGAGTCTGAGGCAGGGAAACATGAGAAAGGAGGTGACATTGACCAAGAAACTCCTGCAAAACTGCGCTTTCTGGCTCAAGAGAAAATGCCTTCCCTACTCCATTTCTGTACCCTGTAAATCCTTCCCCCTAAACTTTTGCACCTTCCAGAGGCCTGTGAGCAGGTAGGATGTGACAGTGGCCCTTTGAATGGAACCATTTCTCTAAGCATTGGACCATGCTTCATTTATAGCCACTGAGAGTGTGAGGAAGAGAGTTCTGAGGCCTAGCTGGAATCCAGGGAGTCCTTAGTATCTCTTTGGATGAATATCTGAGGGTAAATTCCCTTGGGCATGACCTTCCTGTTCTGAAATTTTGAACAAGATACACGAAAGGTGAAGTTCACAGTTTGGAAATGTGCTCTCTGCTAAGTATCTGCTTGTGCTGTGATCCTTCCAACTACTTTGGGGAGAGTTTACCCATTTGACAGGAACAGGAATGAAGGCTGAGAGACAGTGACTATACAGTCCATAGTTAAGCAGCAGAGCTGAAATTCAAAGCCAGTTGGACATTGCTCTCAGATCTTGAAGAATAAACTGGCATTTGGGAAATGAGCAAGAATGTATAGCACGTCCAAATGCCCAGCATTGGGAGGCCTTGGCAGGTAGAAATCAGAGGGCTTGAAGGATAGAGATTATATTGAATTTTAGTACAAAGTTATATGTGCATATGCCCATGTGCTGTGCATCAAACTCAGAGCCTTTCTCATGCTAAGCAATGAGCTACACTTTAAAAATGTGTACTGAGTTCCATCCCTGGTACCGATAAAAAGGAAAAAGACAAAACAAAAAAATGTGTACTGAAGACCTCCTTTTGTCGGCTGATATTTAAAATAATATATAAGGTCAGGTATAGTGGCACACACCTAAAATCTCAGCATTTCAGGGGGCTGAGGCAAAAAGTTCAAGTCCTCAAGTTCAAGCCTACCCTGCGCAACTTAAGTGACTTAGTGAGATGGTTTCAAAGTCAAAACTAAAAAGAAAATATAACATAAAATTGCATCTTGAAATAATATAGTTTTGCAATCTTTCAAGCTTTATTGTAACTTGCTTTTTGTTTGTTTGTCGTTTTGAGACAGGGTCTCACTATGCAGCTCAGACTGGCCTTAGGCTCACTTTCTAGCCCAGGCTGGTCTCCCAACTTGCAGCGATCATCCTGCCTCAGCCTCCCAAATGCTGGGAGTACAGGCATGCACCACTATGCATGGCTCTTAATGTTTGTGAGATTTAGCCAGATTGTGGTACACAGATTGTTTGTTTTTGTTGCTGTGTAATATTTCACTGTGTAAATATACCCCAATTTACCTGTCCATTGTACTGGTGATGGATATGTAGGCTGTTTCCAGTGGTTGCTCATTACAAACAATGCTTCCAAGAATATTTTTGGTCCACATCCTGGTGTGCAAGTGCTGATTTCTCTAGGCCAGTGATTCTCAAACATTTTGAAGACTCCTTTACATCCTTCATAATTGTTTGTGACCCAAAGAATTTTTGCCCACACCCACTCTTCACCCATCCTTTAGATTCCAGAGCTCCAGCCTGGAGAGCAGGCCACTTCCACACTTGCTCTCCCACCCAGCCTTTGGGGGACTCCCCACTCACCCACCTCCTGGACCTTGTATTGCTGTTGATCTTCGGGTGTGCCTCCTCCTCCCAGAATGCTGGACTGCAGTGGATAAACCTTACTAGGTGATGGGAAACTCAGTGGCCTCTCATCCAAACAGAGGACCTCAGCAGGCTTCTGTTACTGTGGTGAGTTTGCCCCTACAATTTAGAGGTCTTCAGTGGATAAATGGGAGAAGTAGTGAAGTTCTCTCCAGCTGTAGGACCTTGGCAAGCTTGGTAAGAGTGTGGGTGAGTCCTTCCTCCATACAGAGAATATCAAGTGGGTTGGGGAGTGTGCCAATAAGGCCTTCCTCAACCTGAAGAAAATTAAAAGGGCTTATGAGACACCCAGTGACACAGTAGGGTCCCAACCGAGACCAACACTATAGACAGGGAGATCTGGTGGCCTGGAATGACCTGAAGACCTAGCATCAGCAGGAACTAAGGGTTGACTTACATCAATACTCCTAGGCTAGTCAGCCCAGGAAGAATATAGGACTCACCCAATAGACCCTGCAGGAGGTATTCAGGTGACTGCCCCCACTTCATTGTGGGACCCAGAAATCAGACAAACATCAACCACACAGTAGGACCCTAAGATACACAACACTGAAAGTTGAGACTAGTGGGATTGAAACACCAAATATTAGTACCAAAGGTGAAAATGACAAACAAAAAAGCAAAATGAATTCTCAAACATCTAGTCCATCAGGAGCAAATGCAGGAGACATTGAAATAGAGGACTTTAACAGTCAAAGACCAAAAATTGCTGAAAAGACAGCAAGTGAAACAAAGAAATCCATGAGGCTATAGAGGAAATCAAATTAGAAACAGTTTCTCAGGTAAAGACAGAAATGACAGCCTTAGCAAAGGAGTTGCTCAGCATAGCTAGAGAAGAAATAGATTTTTTAAAAAGTACAGGAGCGGGGCTGGGGATTTAGCTCAGCAGCATAAGCGCCTGCCTTGCAAGCAGGCAGTCGTGAGTTCGATCCCTGGTACCGATAAAAAGGAAAAAGACAAACAAAAAAACCCAAAAAAAGAAATTTAAAAAAAAAAAGTACAGGAGCATGGAAAATCGATTGAAACCTTGAATGAACAATATAGAAAACAAACAGAATGCATGCAACAAATTCAAAGAGCTATCCAAGAAATAAAAAATTCTAATAAAAGCTGGCAAAACCATTTAAATGAAGCTGAGGATAGAATTTCAGACCTTGAGGACAGGATTGCAACTAGCAATCATGAAAGGATAGAATTTAAAAAAAAATAAAGCAGCATGAAATGACAATTCAACAGCTTCAAGATGATGTCAAGAGAAATAATATAATACCAATAGGCATCAATGAAGATGCAGGAGTCAACATGAATGACATAGGTAAACTAGTCACAGAAGTAATAGCAGAAAATTTCCCAAACATGGGGAAGGAATCTGATATGCAGATAAGTGAGGCATACAGAATGCCGAACAGTCACAACCAAAATAAATCTATACCAAGACATATAATAATTAAGATCCCAGACATACAGCATAAAAACAGAATATTAAAAGCTGTTAGAAAAAAAGACACAACTCACCTATCAAGACAAGCCCATTAGAATCACCACAGACTTTTCAGCACAAACCCTCAAGACAAGCTTGGAGTGGGGTGTTTCAAGCCCTGAAGGAAAACAACTTTTTATTTTTAATTTTATTTAAGGAGAAAAAAGAAAAAAAAACAGAAAAAGGGTACAAGTTATACAGAATATCAGAAAAAATAAACAGTAGGAAATCACTAATTACATATTGTCATCTTAGAAATAGTTGTTGAAGTTACAAAATTAAAGCATATAGAGGGGACTTTCAAACAGTGAGACTGCAAACAGTTTTGTTCAATGATCCAACAAAACTCAGTAATATGGTTATCTATCTTATACACTTAAATATATATACAGTTATATCTTTTAGAGAACTTTCTTTTCCTTTCTTTTGTACAATGACAATTACACATTTTGGGTTTTCTTACTCCCACAGTTCTTACTACTTTTTTTTTTTTGAAGAAAGTAAATCCAAATGTGACATACCAGGACAGAGTCAGTCAAATCAAAAGGATGGACATAATACATAATGTAAAAACAAAATACAAGGTGATCAACAATGGTTACCATAATGCCTCTTGTTATCTTAAAAAGAATTGCCTGTATCATCAGTTATAATAAAATTGAACAAAACAGTAAAGAATAAGACCAATAAAACCAAAACATTGGAGACATTAGAGGACTTCAAAAGAAGATAATAGTCAACCAGAATAGGTGTCACAATGAATCTTATTGTCTTCATAGTTGTTGCCTATACTTTCAATGGTACTATCAAGCATAACAGAATAGAGGAAAATCAGTCAAAACAAGATGGTGAGAGCAATACAGAGTTTCAAATCAAGTTAATAGGAAATCAAAGTGGGTTACTATAATATATCCTGCTATTTTTTATTTATTTTCCCCTTAATTAAAAGGATAAAAATGAAAAAGTAGATAACAAAAAAGAGATTGAAATAAAAAAGAGGGCATAACAACAAAACAGTGCAGGTCAAACATAGCCATTTAAGCAAAATAGTGTTTCACCACAAGATAATCTCGACATAATAGTAGTTATCCTAGTGTCGCTTCCCTTAAAATCTTTGGGTATAACTTCGTATACTGTAGCATCAAACATATCAAGACAATGTAAAACCATTCAAGAGAATGACAATATTACAGGGTAATTAGAATCAACTAACAGAAAATGAACAATGGTTTCTGTATAATCTCCTTGTCTATAAAAGTTTTTGTTTATATTATCACATATAAAATCCGATTAAGATACAACACGTTAAAACTGATGGACACAGAAGAATAAAAGCTTGATGGGACTTCAAAACAAGAGGATATTAAACCAGCACTACCTATTATGATGTCTTGTTTTCTCCAAAATGGCTGTTCCTACCATCCAACCTTCTCTGCCTCATTTCTGTTGAGCTCTTTTTCTGTCTTTAGTTGTCAGTTTGTCCTCTTCATTTTGCTTTCTGCTCCATTCATTGTGGCTGCTCTGCCACTGTTTCTGGAATCTTGGTATTTTTCATTTTTAGAATATCCTGCAGTAATCTCTGTAGAGTTTAACTGGTGGTTGCAAATTCCCCTAGTTCCTCTTTATCCTGGAAGCACCTTGTTTTTCCATCATTTTCTAGGGACAGTTGTGCAGGATATATCAACCTTGGCTGGAGATTATTATCTTTCAAAGCTTGAATTATTTCCCCCCATGCTCTTCGTGATTTGCTGGTTTGTGCCGAGGAGTCTGCTATAATTCTGATGGGTGTTCCCTTGTAAGTGATCTGTTTCTTGTCTTTGACGGCTTTTAATATTCTGTTCTTATATTGGATTTCTGGAATTTTGATTATTATATGCCTGGGTGTTGCTCTGTTTGGGTTGTAGGTGGCTGGGGTCCTGTATGCCTCATACATCTGAGTATCTTTACCTTTTGCTAAATTAGGGAAATTCTCCTGGATGATTTCTGTGAATAGCTTTTGTAGTTCATTTGTTTGAGTCCCTTCTTCTTTTATTCTTAATTCTTAATTCTTAAGTTATAGATCCTCTTATCTTCTAGTCTTTGTATTATTGCTGTTTGTTTTCTTGTTATTTTTAAGAAGTTTTTCATTTCACGCTCCCACCTTACAAATCTGTCCTCTAGTTCTGATAATCTATCCTTAGTTTCTTTCAAGCTGTTATGCCAGCTTTCAATAGAGTTTTTAGTTTCCTGGTAATCTCTTTGAACCTGCTTCACATATTCTATGCTTTCTCTATTTTCTCTTTTTTTTTTTTTTTTTTTTTTTTTTTGTCTTTTTCATTGATACCGGGGTCCCCTTTTTTTCTGTTCTTCCATTCCACCATTTGTTTTTTCTTGGGCAGTGCTTAGCATTTCTCTAACTATTCTGCTTATTTCTTGCTTTATTTCATTAAATACTTCATTTTTGAACTCGTCTATGAGGCTCCGGAGATACTGCTTTATGTCTATAGGTGCCGTGTCTGATATTGCATGTTTTCTGTCTTCATTCTCTTTTGCATTTACCTTTCCTGGATCAGTGTTCTCAGGATTGGGGACTGAGGACACTTTCTTGTTGCTCCCTTTTCCCATACTTTTTTTTTTTTTTTTTTTTTTTTTGTCTTTTCCTTTTTTTTTATCGGTACCGGGGATCGAACTCGCGACTGCCTGCTTGCAAGGCAGGCGCTTATGCCGCTGAGCTAAATCCCCAGCCCCTTTTCCCATACTTTTTGTTCCTTCCATACAAGCGTATGTAGGAGGCCCAGTTTTTTTTTTTTTTTTTTTTTCTCTTTGTCTGTTACAGTTTGTTTGAATCTGCTGGCTATAGGTGTTCCTGCCCACTGCAGTGTACAAGGGAGACACAGACCTGGGCAGCCTCTGCTGGGCCCACCCCTCCAGGTCAACCTATTGAATGCTTCACTGCTAGGGTGCACCGCCAGGCGCAGGGATCTGATTTGGGCTAGCCTACTGGATCTTAGTCTGCGGTGTCACCAGGCCAAGTGCTCCCCACCACTCCCACTTGAGAGGGGAATATGCGACTAACGTCACTGCCGGGCACTGTTCCAGCTTGTCTGCTCATTCCCAGAATGTCCTCTGTTGGAGCCTCCTAGTCTATGAAAGGGTCCCCATTTCTCTCACTCACTGCAGGTCGATGCAGGGCTCCCTGTCAGTCCCACTCTTAACACCGTTTAGTTCGCCAATTCTAGCTCTCAGAGCTTTCGTGCCTCTCTCTCCCTGCCATACAGATTGGGACGTAGTATCAGCAGCAGGAAATTCAAACGCAGCTTCCAATGGTGCAGGATCCAGCTTCCACACTGAGATTTTATCTGTTCCTGTTATAGCATCAGGATTGCATTTCCAGTTGGTTTCTCTCAGCTTAGTTCGTTCCTGGGTCAGCAGGGTACATCTCTCCTCGCATAGGACTCCTCACACGGCACGGCTCCTGGATTCTAAGCTGGCAATCTCAGAGAGCCTCCGTGGCTGCTGTTATTTGTCCACCATGTTCTCCCAGAAGTCAGGAAAACAACTTTCAACCAAGACTGATGTACCCTGCAAAACTTTCTTTGAAATTTAATGGAGAAATAAGATACTTTCATGACAACTAAACTAAAATCTAAATGGATCAAAGATCTGAATATTAAAACAGAAACACTAAATCTGTTGGAAGACAAATTAGGTAAAAATCTTGAAGACATAGGAGTAGGTAGAAAATTCATGAACAGGAATCAAACCACATAGGAAATACTTCCCAGAATCAATAACTGGGATCACATCTTATTAAAACGTTTCTGCATGTCAAAAGAAATCTCCAGGATGCTGAAAAGAAAACTCACAAACTGGGAAAAAAATCTTAGTGAACTGTCCCCCAAAGGACTTCTGTCTAAAACATATAAAGAATTTTTAAAAATCAGACCCCCAAAATTCAAAAACCCAATCCAAAAATGGGCATCTGAGATGAATACACAGTTCTCAGATGAATAAATACAAATGACAAATAAATTGATGAAAAAATGTTCATCATCATTACTCATTAGAGAAATGCAAATTAGGGGCTGGGGATTTAGCTCAGCGGCATAAGCGCCTGCCTTGCAAGCAGGCAGTCATGAGTTCAATCCCGGTACCGATATAAAAGAAAAAAGACAAAAAAAAAAAGAAAAGAAATGCACATTAAAACAACACTGAGATTCCATCTCACCCCAGAAAGAATGATCAGGATCAATAAAACTACCAACAACAAATGCTGGAGAGGCTGTGGGGGAAAAGGAACTCTCCTGCACTGTTGGTGGGAATGTAGACTGGTGCCACCACTGTGGAGATCAGTCTGGAGATTCCTCAAAAACCTGGGATTGGAAGTCCCATTTGACCCAGCTATTCCACTTCTAGGCATATTCCCAGAAGAATTGAAAACATCATACCACAGTGATATATGTGTACCCATGTTTATAGCAGCACAATTTGTAATAGATCTTGGAAACAACCCAAATATCCATCAACTGAGGAACGGATTTTAAAAAAGTTGTATTTTTATACAATGGAGTACTATTCAGCTATAAAGAATGGTCACATTGAGATATTTATAAATAAATAGATGCAACTTGAGACCATACTCATAAGCGAAATAAATCAAACTCACATGTATAAATAATGTAGTCTCCCTTGTGTAAGAAATGGTAAGAGTACATAAGAATTTATGGTAATCATGATTCCCATTACATTGCTTTGAAGCCTATAATGTTTTCATTCATTAGTTGGAATGGTTTTATCCTGATGTTTGATTTTGTTATCTGTGATGGTATGAACACCTATTTTAAAGAAAACAAGACATAATAGCCAATGCTGATTTAATACCTTGCTTTGAAGTCCTACCATGCTTTTGTTCTTCTGTTTCCATTGGTTCTGTCATGTTGTGTCTTATTGGATTTTATTATATGTGATAGTATAAACAAAATTTTTATGGACAGTGAGATAATATAGTAGCCATTGTTCATTTTCTGTTATTTGGTTCTGAATGTCCTGTAATTCTTTCATTCTCTTGAATGGTTTTAAACATTCTCTTGAATGTTTGATACTATTGTATATGAAGGTATGCTCAACTATTTCAAAGACAGAGACATTATGGTAGCTACTGTTATATCAGGTTGTCTTGTGGTGAAATATTGTGTTGCTTAAGTTGTTCTGTTCTGATCTGCTTTGTTATGTCTTTTGTCTTAATCTCTTTAAAATACAAAAAAAATTTTTAAAACATACTTTTATGACAAAGAACTGAAGAAATTCATGTCCACCAAACCAACCCTAAAAAGAGTACTGAAAGACATATTAGATAGAGATAAAAATGACTACAATGTCCAGAACAACAACAGAAAGAAACCACCACCAGACAGAACAAGCAATTAAACAAGGCAGAAAAGCAGAAAACCAATAGCAGGAATACAACGTGACAAAGTTGAGCCAGTGCATATCAGTTATATCCACCAATGTAAATGGTCTTAATTCACTTAATCCATCAAGAGAGATAGATTGAGAGAATGGATCAAGAAACAGGATCCCACAATATGCTGTATACAAGAAATACATCTGACTCAAAAGAAAACTCATAGACTAAAAGTCAAAGGATGGAAAACAATATTCCATGTGACAGGAACCCATAAAAAAGCTATTCTATTTGCAGATAATGTGAACTTCAAACCAAAAATGATCAAAAGAGATCAAAAAGGTCACTACACACTTAATAGTGGAAAAATCCAAGAGGAAGAAATAACAATTATAAATACATATGCACCAAATACAGGAGCACCCCAAATATATAAGACAAATACTAATGGACATGAAAAACCAAATACACAAGAACACAATTGTAATAGAGTACCTTAATATCCCATTGTCACAAAGATATAGATCAACTAGGCAAAAAGTCAGCAAAAAAATAACAGAACTAAATCAAACCTGTGAGCAAATGGACTTAGTAGATTTTTACAAAGTGTTCCACTCAACCACATCAGAATACATATTCTTCTCAGTTGCACATGGGACATTCTCCAAAATAGACCCTATATTAACCCATAAAACATTCTGAAGTAAATGTAAAGGAATGAAATTATCCCATATATATTATCAGACCATAGTGCACTCAAATTGGAAATTAATGGCAGGGGCTGCAGATTTTAGCTCAGCGGCATAAGCGCCTGCCTTGCAAGGAGGCAGTCGTGAGTTTGATCCCTGGTACTGATTAGAAAAAAAAGTGGAAATTAATGGCAAAAGAAATTGCAAAACCTGCATAAATACATGGAAATTAAACAACAACTTCCTGAACAATCAATGGGTTACAGGTGAAATTAAAAGAAGAAATTAAGCAATGCCTACAATTCAATGAAAATGCAGATACAACATACCGAAACCTGTGGGGTGCAATGAACGTGGTCCTAAGAGGGAAATATTGTCATAGCAATAAATTGTCATATCAAGAAAACAGAATGAGCACAATTAAACAACCTAATGCTACATCTCAAGCTTCTAGAAAAAGAAGAGCAAGTAAAACCCAAAGCTTATAGAAGACAGGAAATTATAAAGATCAGAACAGAAATTAATGCAATTGAGACTAAAAAAAAATACAAAGAATTAATGAGTCAAAGAGCTGGTTTTTTGAAAGAATAAAATTGATAAGCTTCTAGCCAACCTTATCAAAAAGAGGAGGAAAAAACTCAAATCCATGCAGTAAGGAATGAAGAAATTACTACAGATCCCATGGAAATTCAAAAGATCATGAATACCTACTTTAAAAATCTTTACTCACATAGGGTGGAAAATACAGAGGAAATGGACAGATTTCTGGAAGCATATGAACAAAGCTCACTGTTTATTTTTTCTGAAATTCTGTATAACTTGTACCCTTTGGGGGGTTTTTTCTTTTTTCTCCTTAAATAAAATTTTTTTTAAAAGATATAATTTTTAATACCCTAAAATACGCTATTGAAATTGAAAACATGGTTAAAAACTTACCAACAAACAAAAGCCCAAGTCACGGCTAAATTCTACAAGAAATTTAGAGAAGATTTAATGCCAATACTCCTCAAATTCTTCAATGAAACTGAAAGAGAAGTAATCCTCCCCAACTCATTCCTGGAGGCAAGTATTACTCTGACACCAAAACCAGAGAAAGACCCAGACAAAAAGGAGAACTATAGACCAATCTCAATAATGAACACTGATGCAAAAATTCTCAACACTGGCAAATAGAATGCAGCAAATCACCAAGAACATTATACCTCCCGATCAAGTGGGATTTATCCCAGGAATGCAGGGATGGTTTAACATATGCAAATCAAAAAATGTAATAGACCATATCAACAGAGTCAAAAACAAAAATCACACAATCATCTTGATAGACACAGAAAAAGTTTTTGATAAAGTCCAACACTTGTTCATGATTTAAAAAAAAAAAACTTACAGAAACTCAGAATAGATAGTAACTACCTCAGTCTGATAAAGGTCATATATAACAAACCAACAGCCAACTAAATGAACAAAAACTGAAAGCTTTCACTGTAAAATCAGGAACAAGACAAGGATCACCACTCCTATTCAATATAGTTCTGAAAATATTAGCCAGAGCAATCAGACAAGAGAGAGAAATAAGAGGAATAAAGATAGGAAATGAAGAAGTTAGATTATCACTATTTGCAGATGACATGATACTCTACATAGAAGACCCAAAAAATTCCATTAAAAGACTACTAGATTTAAAAAACAAATTCAGGGGCTGGGGATTTAGCTCAGCGGCATAAGTGCCTAATGTGTAAGCAGGCGGTCGTGAGTTCGATCCCCGGTACCAATAAAAAGGAAAAAGACCAAAAAAAAAAAAAAAAAGAAAGAAAGAAAGAAAGAAACAGCTGTGTAGCTGGATATAAAGCCAACACTCAAAAATCAATAGCATTCCTGTACACAAACAAAAAACTCACTGAGAAATTATAAAAATATTGCCTTTCACAATAGCATCTAAAAAACTGAAATACTTAGGAATCAACCTAACCAAGAATGGAAAAGATCTGTATGTTAAAAATTATACTACTCTTGGGGCTGGGGATTTAGCTCAGTGGCATAAGGGCCTGCCTTGCAAGTGGGCAGTCGTGAGTTTGATCCCCAGTACCGATAAAAAGGAAAATGGAAAAAAAAGAAAAAAAGGATATGGAAGAGAATATTAGAAAATGGATATTCCTTGCTCTTGGTGAAGAAGAACCAACACTGTGAAAATGATTATACTCCCAAAACTATTATACAGACTTAATGCAATCCCAACCCAAATACCATTAACCTATCTTTCAGATCTAGAGAAAACATTCCTAAAATTCATTTGGAAACAGAAGAAACCTAGAATAGCAAAGGCAATTCTGGGCAACAAAGGCAAGGCAGGAGGCATCTCAATTCCTGACTTGAAATTATACTACAAAGCTACAGTGATAAAATCAGCATGGTACTGGCAAAGAAATAGATCTGAGCATCAGTGGAACAGATTAGAAGATGCAAACACAACTACAAAGACACTCAGCCACCTTATATTTGACAAAGGGACTAAACATGTTCACTGGAAAAAGGATAGCCTCTTTAATAAATGGTGTTGGAAAAATCAGCTTTCCATATGCCAAAGATTGAAACTAGACCTATGTCTATCACCATGTACTAAATTAAGTCAAAATGGATCAAAGGCCTAAATATTAAAACAGAAACACTAAATCTACTGGAAGAGAAGGTAGATAGAAATCTTAGAGACATAAGGGTAAGAATTCAAGAACAAAACATAAATTGCACGGGAAGTACTTCAAAAAATCAACAACTGGGATCTCATTAAAAAGCTTTTGCACTTCAAAAGAAATCACCAACAGAGTGAAATGAAAACCTACAGAATGGGAAAGAATTTTAGCCAGCATTCCTCAGACAAAGGACTTATATCCAGAACATACAAAGAATTGAAAAACATGAAGCCTCTCAAATTCAAAGACTCTCTCCAAAAACGGGGATCTGAGATGAACACACAGTTCTCAGATCAAGATATACAAATAACAGATAAATACATGAAGAAATGTTCACCATCACTGGTCATTCAAGCAATGCAAATTAAAATAGCATTGAGATTTCATCTCACTCTGGAAAGAATGGCTGCCATCAACAAATGTTGCCACCAATAACAAATGTTGGTGAGCCTGTGGAGAAAAAGGAACACTTCTCCACTGTTGGTGGAAGTATAGAGTGGTGCAACCACTATGGAAATCAGTGTGGAGATTCTTCAAAAAACAAAGATCGGGGGCTGGGGATTTAGCTCAGCGGCAAAAGCGCCTGCCTTGCAAGCAGGCAGTTGTGAGTTCCATCCCCGGTACCAATAAAAAGGAAAAAGAAAAAAAAAAAAAAAAAAAAAAAAAAAAGATTGGACGTTCCATTCAACCCAGCTATTCCTCTCCTGGGTATTTTCCCAGAAAAACTGAAAAGGTCGTGTCTCAGTTATATGTGCACCCATGTTAACAGCAGCACAATTTGTAATAGCTAAATCTTGGAAGCAACCAAAATGCCCATCAACCACAGAATGGATAAAAAAGATTTATCTACAATGGTATGTTACTCAGCTATAAAAAAGGATGATGATGAGGCTTTTATAGGTAAATGGAGGCAACTTGGGACTATCCTCATAAGTGAAATAAATCAGACTCAAATTTGTAAATATTGTATTGTCTCTAGTATAAAAATTTTTTTAAAAAACTGAAAGAGGAATAAGATTCCAAATGTATAATAGATATCGAGATCCATTATATAAAAAAGAAAGTGCTCTAAAGGATATAACTGTTTAAGTGTGCAAGACAGACAGACATACTCCTAAGTTTTTGTTAGTTCATCAAACAGAATGGTTTGTAATGCCATTATTTGATTGTCCACTTTTTATGCTTTGATTTTGTGACTTGAGCAACTACTTCTAAGGTAACAATATATAATTTATCAACTGTGATTTCTTACTGTTTTTCTCTGAAATTCTGTATTATTTCTACCTTTTCTGTTTTCCTTTTCTTCTGTAAATAAATGCTTATGTAGACTGCATCTACTAATATTTATCATATGAAATAAAAAGGAAATTTGAAACTTGAGAAATAAAAAATTACAAATTCAGTTAAAATAACAAATGTAAATCTACTACATGTAACATAGATGAAATATTTTCATGAAAATGCTTCCTGGCCCTGAATCAAGGCCGGCAGCTTCCTGATGCTGTTGGTTTCAAGCAGGAGCCTAAAGAGATGTCTTTCTATGGTCTGTTGGCCACTTCAGAACTTGGGTAGTAAAATGGTCAATTCATTAGAAATAAACAGCTTGAAGCTTGAAGCAACTGGGACCCATGCCATGCTGGGACCGGGAGTACCAGAAAACCAAGCAAACACTCCCACCCCACTCCATGAGCAGCTGTGAGCATGGCAAGCTGCAGTGACCCAGGACAGGAGCCACCAGCGTTTACTGGGACCCGCGCCATGCTGGGACCTGGAATGTGGACAAACCAAGCAACTCCTCCCCTCCCTGGTGATGGGCTGTTGAGCCTGCAGGTGCTCACGCGGGCTGAGAATCAAACATCACATCTTCTCCCCACCCCCACCCATTAGCAAGTGGAAGCCAGCGATCTGGACATCCCTTGGGAGGCTGACCATAGGCAATACAGTAAATAGGGGGGATATCCTTCTGCCATCTCTTTGAAGGCAAATACTTTTACCCCATTTTGCCTTGTTCTAATTAATGGTGTTATTTTAGCCTGTTTTGTTTTGCTGAACTTTAATACATATGAAAAGTATGGACAGCTATTTTGAAGACCTAAAATGCCTTCCTCATTCTGTGCAGATCAGTTTTATACTACGTTGTTTTGCGTGAATTCTCTGTATGCGAAGACATGGACAGCTATTTGGAAGAAAACAAGAGACAATATGATAGTGAAGATCTCAGGTCATCTAGCTTTGAAATTTCCTATCTTACATTGCTTTCATATGTCCTATTTTAATTCTGTTTTGGTGCGTTTAATTTTACCCCCTTTAAAATAAAAAGAAAAAAAAAAGAAAATTAATGCTCCTCAAAACAAAAAATTAGCTGGGGATTTAGCTAAGCGGCATAAGCACCTGCCTTGCAAGCATGTGGTGGTGAGTTCGATCCCCAGTACCAATTTAAAAAAATTAGTGAGAAAAATAGCATTTTGCAAATGTCTAGTGATAAACTTTTTCTACTCTGTTACATTAAAATCCATTGGTCTGTCTTGCACTTTGAATGGATCTCTTATTTCTATCATTTCCAGTTTCTAAGTGTTTGCTGAAACTTTTTTTTTTTTTTTTTTTGTACTGGTGATTGAGCTCATGACCTTGTGCTTTCCAGGCAGGCACTTGTGCCACTGAGCTAAATCCCCTGCTCTTTGACCCATCTTTTAACTCTTGTATGTTTTCCCTGCTCTATCCTTTAGAATCTTTCTTATTTATCTATTATTTGTTTGTTTGTTTGTTTATTGTGGTTCTGGGCAACCAGATCCAAAGCCCTACACATGCTAGGCAGGCACTCTACCACCAAGCCATATCTGTTGCACTTTCATAGTTTATGATTCTCCCTAGGAATTCTAGTTTTTGCTTCTGCATTTTGTGTATGACTTAGAGCCATACACTATATAATCAGTTTTGTAAGCATTTGGGTGCAGTTTGGTAGAGCATCTGCCTGTAGCCATCTGCCACTCAATAACCTGTAATAAACTCATTTATTCACCACGCTGGATTTGTCTGAGTCATTCTTTGGTCTGTTGACACCTTCCCAATTCAGAGCAAACATTTCTTTTGTCTCTTCAGGAAATTTGCAGAACACTCTTTCCCAGAACGCAATCTTTTGCCTGTCTCCACTATCTTTCTTCTTTCGGTTCCACTTTTGATTTTAGAGTGAAGGTTCTTGGATCATGAAATGAATTCTCTTGTTTCTTGAAGCAGCATCTTTCCCTTGTCTGGATCCTTGAAAGCAGGGGATGATGAATACCAGATAAACTACACTGTGTTTAGCAGAGTTGGACTCAGATCTTAGTAAAGAAACCCCAAGTAAAGGCTCCCATCAACTCATGTGACTTGGAAGCTTTTAGAGGTTCTCATTTCTCCTCTACTCACACCTATCAAAAGTTGGAGACTTTGCAAAAAATTAGGGGTGGGAACTGAGAAGCGCTACTGTGGCTTCAGTTACCTGGCAGCTCTGCAGTTGAAGATAATGACCATCGGAGGAAGGCAGCTCTGCATCCCATCTGGCACTGCCTTTCATTAACTGTGTGACCTTGAGCAAGTTTTCTGAACTAAGTACTTCCTTCTCTGGTTGTGAGGATTAAGTTAGGTAATGTCTATTGCAGAATATCCACAGCACTGTCTCTTGTACATATTAACTATTCCATTATCATCAACTGCTACTACAGTGTTGATCTGAATTTCTCCAAGAAAGGAAGGTGCACTGAGTGGTAGACCCTACCACACTTACACGCCATGGGCAGCCAGAGCTCTCCCCAACGCAGCTTTCCCAGCACTGATCCAGCTTCCTTCAGCACAGAGCTCAGTACTATACTACTCCAACCATCAGCTTGTTTAATGAGGGCCCCCAGAGATTCGTAAACCATGGGCACGGACTCGATACAAGCACGTGAAACGTGGGTGGCCCCAGTTGCTTAGAATCTGGATCTTCACCTTGGGAAAGGCAGATGGAGAGTCATTCTGGGGAGATAAATAGGGCATGCCAAGAAATGCGCTCAAGCATTGTCCTGCACGCTCATCTCCCACTGCCCCATTGCCTTACCATCTTCGCCCCCAGACAAACACACCTGTAGGTGGAAAGTCTGAATCGCAGATTTCTTCACGTCAAAGGTGAACCTCCCCAAGAAAACTTCAGTCTTATCATCAACCTGGAGACCCTGGTGAGTGAAGAGTGAATGGAGGCACAGTGAGGCACACGCTGACAGGACGGGAAAACAACTTTGTTGAGGCTCTTCTGTGTGTTCAGTAGTGCTGCATGTGCTCTCATGTATGTTCTGATCATAGGATGTGTAATGTGGAATGTGAGCTTGAAGAAACCAGGTTTTTAGTCTGGCCAACTGTTAGCTATGTGACTCTGAGCAAGTAATAATATCTCAGAGCATTACTTTCTTCATATCTAAAGATTAGCCAAGGGTTTAGCTCAACAGCAAAGCACCTGGCTGGCCAGCGCAAAGTCCCAAGTTTGATTCCCAAGTTTGATTTGATTTACTTTAAAAAAATTTTTAAAAAGGAGGATATTATTGTACTTCATCAGTGTTATTTGGATGCAATGAAATAATGCATGTAAAGTGCTTGGCACAAAATAATAGCTAATAATATTTGGAAATGCTGTTATAATTATAACTTGGAGCAGCAGTAGTCCTGACAGGCAAATCTTAGTATGTCCAGTTTACATGTGAATAAGCAAAGGCACCAGTCTCATGACTGCCTGGTGCATGCTAAGCAAAATCCCCAACTCACAGCCTCAGCCCCACTCACAAAGACTGCAAAATCTCGGGGAGCACTGCTGGCATCCCCAGTGTGTGCCACTCTAGGTGGGGGATGCTGCAGAGTGATGTCGCTCAGCTGCACATGACCCGCCAACCGGATCACGACCTGGCCCTGGTCTCCCTCAAAAGCCCAGCAATTTCCAGGGAATACGTCTGGCTGCAAGGTGTGAGAGAAGGAAGAACCATCAGAATCTAAGGACAGTGATTATTACCCCTCCTCATGACTGGGCCCACAAGGCCTAACCCACAGCTCCACTTCCAGGCCTGATCCCTTCCCTGATCCTGCCCACAGCCTAGATCCTGCCCAGGGCTCAGTCCCTTGAAATCCCTGCCAATTCTCTTTAGCTCCTCAGCTTTACTTGTGCTTCTTTGGGCAGCACCAGACCCAGTTTCCCCAACAGCCCCTCAACTCAGCCAGGTCCTGCCTCCAAGGAGCTGAACGTTTCTCCAGCATCCACCACTTGGTCCCATCCCAGGATCCTGGTTCCAGGCCCACCTCCAGGATGACTGTAGGTGGCCGTGCATAGCTCCAAAAGCTGAAATGATTCCAGAAATAAGATGTGTTTGTGTCTTCGTAGTCCTGGGATGTCTTCTCTAGGTCAATGGAGGCACCTGGAGCGGGGAGAAATAACCCTCAGAGGCTGGCAAGCTTTACCAACAGCTGGGGAAAGTTCTATAATTGGCACCATCATTGGTGTCCCTGGGTCTTACCTATGGAGCTCAGGGCATAGTCTGGTTTCTGCACAAAGTCCTCATTCAGCCGCTGGAACACAAGCTTGGCCACTCTCTAAAGGGGGGGAGGGGGCATGGACCGCGAGTGGGCAGAGCCACAGGGCCAGGCTCCCCAACACACACCAGACCCTTACAGAGTCTCGGGGCACCGCTCACCTCACTGTGGGCCGCGCGAACTCGGGCCACCTCCTGGCGGAGTTTATTTAACTCGGCCTGAAGCTGCTGCAGCTGCTGCCCATGGGAGCGCACCCGCTCCTGGTACTCGCTGGAGCAGGGAGGCAGATGCCCTGCGGTTGGCTCCTTGTGTCTCCCTCCCGCAAGGCACCCCTGCAGCACCTTTGGGCCCAATCTGGGGCCCAATTCCCACCCCAGATGCCCTGTTTCACCTGGGAGACAGCATCGCCTTAGGTTCCTATGGGGTGGAGGCAAATACAGCGACGCATCAGTTCCTGCCGCCCCACTTTCTCCCGTGTCAGCCTGGAGGCAGCCAGACTCACAAAGCTCCTTTCTGAGAACTGTGCCCCCGCCCCTAAACCTTGCCTGACTTTCAGGATCTCAGCCCCTCAGAAATCTGCGCCCGGAGCTTCCTAATGGCCTCTGGTCCTGCTTCCTCCCAGCAGCCACACACACCACCACCACAGCCTCTACCCACCCAGGCTACAGTGGCCCAGACTCACATTCTCCAAAGGAGGGAGCAGGTGCAGGAGACACCAAGAGAGTGCTGGAGAAAGGGGAAGGGGTTTCCTGGCATGAGGGTCAGTAAGAGCAGAGTGGTGGGGCGCAGGGGGAGGCTGGGGGCTCTGAAGGCTGAGTGGGCTGACGGACAAGGGGAAATGTGTGTCCAGAGCTGGACCCCGGGGTATCCGGGCCTCACCGGCTAGAAAGACGCTCAGCAGCGACGCAGCGAACAGGAAGCGGACTGAGCAGACCTCCCTGAGGGAACGGAGGGAGCTGAGGCCCCAGTGCCCTGGTCCACGCATCGGGGACCCCAGGGCCCTACACCCTCTCCCGCTAACCCGACACCCCATCGGCATCGACTCGAGCCTCGCGAGCCCGGCCTCGCCTCCACCTGCCCAAGCAGCGCCCGCGGCGCTCCCCCTGACCTGCACACACCGAGCAGCGCGTCCCGGACCAGCAACAACAGCACTCTCGGCACCTGGAAGAGGAGGCCTGGAGGAGGAGAACCGGATCAGAGAGGGAGCCCGAGGACGTTCGGGATTCCGCGGGGACTCACTCGGCAAGGAGACTGGGACCCAGGAGAGGCTGGACACCCGACAGGAGTCTCAGAGAGGGGCTCGGGCTGTTGGCGCGTACTCAGGAAGCTCTTGGTCGTTCGCAGAGCAGGCGTCTCCCGCCTCAGATCCAGGATCGCGAGAAGGCTCCGCTGCTCCTCAGAGACTGCGGGAGACGCAGCCATGGGCTCTACTGAGGCCTTGCGCACCGCAGACCTACTTTTCCCCCAGGCCCGGCTGCAGGTTTCCTAGCCCGGGAAGACCCTCAGACGGGCTTTGAATCAGCCCCACGCCCACCCTAGGCTTCCCGGGTTGCCTGGGATGGAGCCTAATCAGGAGTTAGCCCTCTTCTCCAAGTGATGCTGCTCCCCCAGCAGATGCAGCCCTCTTTCCAAATAGCCAATCACGTTCACTGGGAGGAGCTCCTCTGTAGCGCCCAATCACAGCGCTTCCCCGCCCCTTCCCAGAGCCGTCCATCACACTGAGGCACCGCCTCCTAGGGGGATCTTAGCGCCTGCCTCGCGGGACGCACCGGGACCAAATCTCAACCAGTTCCACCCGGGCCCCGCTCCTCAAGGCCGGCCCCGCCCCCTCCCTCAGCGCCACAGGTTCGACCCCGCCCGCACCCGAGGCCCCGCCCCTCACGGTTGCCGCGCCACACGCGGTCTCCAGGTTGTGGTTCCCAGGCGCAGCCTCCTGCCGGGAGCTTCCAGCCCTTGGGCTTCCTCTGGGCAATCTGGGGCGCAAGGCGAGCTCTCTGCAGCTCGAGACCCGGTCCCTTCTGCCCTCAGGCTCCCCGGGCCCCTGCCCAGGAAACCAGTGCCCGCTGCTGTCCCGCGAGGGGACGCTGTCTGAGCTGTCGCTGTTCTCGCTGTACAGGCTGAGCCTGTGCTCCTGCGGGGTCGTATCCGAGCCGCGGCGGGCACTCCGCCGCATCCTGACCTACGACACAGCTCGAGGACGCCCCAATCGCCACGCAGCCACCTAGGCCCTCGGCCCTCAAGCCTCCCAGCCGTGCCTCACAGACACAGCGTGATCCGCGAGCCGCGTGGCCCACACTCAGCCTTCCCTCCCCATCTGCACCCGGTGGCCACCATCACAAAGGAACCTGACGTCACAGAGATAGTCGTGATGTCACTGTGAGCTGTGGGAGCCTAGGCTGTCTGGTTCTTTAATGGGAGCAGTGACGCCACAGCACTTCCCAGAAGGCCCACTCTGAAACTATGTTTAGTGTTAGACAATTTCTGCCCCTCCACCTTCCCTGCTGTTTTCTCTTCTGCTATATGTGTAGTTATCGAGTTTTAATCCATGAACATTCTACCACTGAGCTACAAACCCAATCCTTTAAAAAAATTTTGTTTCTATTTTGAAACAGTGTCTCACCATGTAATTCAGGCTGGCCTTGAACTCATGGCAATCTTTCTGTGTCACTCTCCTGAGTTCTGGGATTATAGACAGCTAAAAGTTTGTTGTTACTGTTGTTGTGTACCGGACATCAAACTCATGACTTTGTGCTTGCCAGGCAGATGCTTGTGCTGCTGAGCTAAACCCTTGGCCCTAAAAGTTTCTTTTGAGACAGGATCTCTCTAAATGCCCTGACCAGCCTGGAATTTGTAATCCTCCCTCCTTAGCCTCCCCAGTAGCTAACATTACAGGTGCAATCCACCACCCCTAGCTTCTTGCTGCTCTCAACACTGACATGCTACATATTTAACTTACTTATTTTTGCTTGTCATGAGCACCAGAACATACTCTGAGGATGGCAATTTTCATTAGTTTTATTCAGTTCTGTATCTAGCACCTTGAAAGGCCTAGTCTATAGTAAGTGCTCAAATATTTGCAAAGAATGTGTCTTAGTTACTTTTTACTCGTTGCTGAGACAAAATACCTGAAGCCCAAAGTTGGGAAAGGAAAGGTTTATTTCTTACAGTTTTTGGAGGTTTCAGTCCTCACTCAGTTGGCTCCAAGGCAGGCGGGCTTGGCTGGGCCCCAGTTCATGGCAGCTGCAAACAGCAAACCCAAACCAGCAAAGAGCAAAACACACCTTCTTCCTGCCATTACATCACATCCTGGCTCCACCCCTAAGTGGATGTAGCGCTAACACCATCAATCCAAACACTAGACAATGCAAATGCACATATGCACAATGCAAACTCATGAGGCCTGGGGGACACAGACATAAATCATGACAGAATGAATGCTAAAAAGGAGCAGAATATTACCCAGGACACTTCCTAATAAACATTTCATCTCCTCTGCTCTGCAATCCCTTCAGCCCTCTTCTGTCATCCCAGTCAAAAGCCAGAGAACTCTGACCTAAGGATCTGTGGATTTTACCTCCAGACCTATGTTCCCCAAGGCCCTGGGATGAGAACTCAGTATATACCAATCACCATACCTACAATCAGACCACACACCTGAGCCATGGAGAAGCAAATGAGGAGTCACAGATGTTCATACCAGAAAGACAGGCCAAAAGCATGAGGGACACTACTGGGGGAAAGACATTGTTCAAGAGTGGTACAACCCCCATACAGTGACACCATAGTCAGTGTTCACAAAACGAATCAGAAAGGTCCTATTTTCCAACCTTCATTTGAATTTAGTGCTATATGCACTAAATATATAGGGCCAATCAAAAGGCACTCTTCAGTCCTTCATTGGCATGTGAGCACAACCAAAGGACACTGTTCCAAGTCCTTCAGCTGCATATGATAGGAAGCCAAGTGAGCTTTTCCATAGGACAGTTTGCACATGGGGTAATGTCAAATGTTTGATGGTGTAGAGACAAAGTTATGAAATAGCAAACTTGTAGACATTTTATAGTAGCAGTTAAAAATCAGTTAGTGGGGGCTGGGGATTTAGCTCAGCAGCATAAGCACCTGCCTTACAAGCAGGCAGTCGTAAGTTTTATCCCTGGTACCGATAAAAACGAAAAAAACAAAAAAAAAAAATCAATTAGTGGCCTGTGACAATGCTTATGCTGATAGAAATGTGGGGTGGCTGAAAAGATAAGAAGTATGAAATATAAATGACCTTTATTTTGAGAATGCGGGGAGAGACCCCCCCATACCCTGGGGTCCAGCATCCCCCCCCCGCCGCGCGATCTCTCCATGGGACACGTGGAGTGGAGGCATACATGTAGCTTAGGTTTGCAGTAGAGCCTGAGGGGGCATTAGGGATGCACAGGTAGCCCATTGGTATTCTTTTGGTGCCAGAAGTAAATTCCTAGGGATAGGGAAGATAGAGTCACAGGTAAATTCCTAGGGGTGGGGAAGATGGAGCTCCTTGGCTTTGCCTCTAAGGCTTCACCAAGCTACAGAGGCCTGTCTGGGCCAGAACTCTTTCATATGCTACCTGTCACATAAGTTAAAAAAAAAGTTAAAAAAAAAAGTTAACTTTTTATCGGTACCAGGGATCGAACTCACAACCGCCTGCTTGCAAGGCAGGTGCTTATGCCGCTGAGCTAAATCCCCAGCCCCTAGTCCAGGATTTTTCCACGACATTCTTGGTGCAGTGTAGAAGACCAAGTGAATGGCTCTTCCTGAATGTAGAACCATTACTCACACATTGTTTAAACTGGGCCCTGTCTCCATGAACTGATATGTACAGAGCTGGCCAGGTTATTTCCTTATGCCTTCAGTTGTCTCTAAGCATTGCAAATAAGGTTAGTTAAGGTACTGATATGTAATCTTTAAGGCCAACTGACAATTTCCTGTTTCCTAACATTGTGTTCCTGTTAAACAGTTGAACATAGTGTGATGGCAGAGCCAGAAATCTCCAGGAATGTCAGCTGGGTATGAGCCTCAAAATAAGAGGCTATGACTTCTCAGGGTACAAAAATTTACCTTTCAGAAACTAAAACAACAGCCTCCTAAATTCATTCATTTGCTATCCCAATCAAGTTATGCAGACTGGTCTTTCTGAATATCTTTCTCCCTGCATATTGTAGAGGTGCTTGCCCTCCACCAGACTAGCTCAGCTCACTTTGCTCATATAATTCCCACCTGCCTCACTGTCACTCATCCTTGAACGACTCCCTTCTTCACAGCACAGTAAATTCTGGGAGAAGCCTTAGATAAGGCCTTTTGTCTATACGTCCTCACTTGAACTGGACTTAGGATCCCTTGACTGCTTATAACCTTGAATATGTCCTAGTGTCTTTACTCGCTCCATGGGTTGCATTGGAAGTGGCATTAAGTGGAATTAACTTGCTGAGATCCCAATAATGTTTCAGTGGGATTACAAAAATAATTTTCCAGACTGTGAGGAGGCCTGGAAAAGGGATTATAACATTTGGATTATAATATACAATATTTGGATTATAATATTCAATATTTGGATTGAAATAGGCCAGGAAAACACTGTGCTGATCCCTTTGGGTCACCAGTGGAGGCCTTCTGCCTTCCATGGGGTCCATCCCCTGACCCATGGATGAGAAGGTATGTTGCACACCCATGTTTATAGCAGCACAATTTGTAATAGCTGGATCTTGGAAACAACCTAAATATCCATCAACTGAGGAATGGATAAAAAAGATTTGGTATTTTTATACAATGGAATACTACTCAGCTATAAAGAATGATCACATTGAGATATTTACTAATAAATGGATACAACTTGAGACCATACTCATAAGCAAAATAAATCAAACTCACATGTGTAAATACCATCATATAGTCTCGCTAGTGTAAGAAATGATGAGTACATAAGAGTTTATGGTAATCATGATTCCCCATTACATTGTTTTGAAGCCTTATAATGTTTGCATTCATTAGTTGGAATGATTTGATTCTGGTTTGTTTGATTTTATTGTCTGTGATGGTATGAACAGCTCTTTTGAAACAAGACATTATAATAGCCAGTGCTGATTTAATAACATCTTACTCTGAAGTCCTACGATGCTTTTGTTCTTCTATTTTCATTGGTTCTATCATGTTGTATCTATCTTATTGGATTTTATTATGTGTGATAGTATAAACAAATTTTCTACGGAAAATGAGATAATATAGTAGCCATTGTTCATTCTTTGTTATTTGGCTCTGAATGCCCTGTAATGCTTTCATTCTCTTGAATGGTTTTGTACTATTTTGTTATACTATTGTCTGATACTATTGTATATGAAGTTATGCTCAACTATTCCAAAGAAAGAGAAATTATGGTAGTTACTGTTAATTATGGGTTATCTTGTGGTGAAATACAGTTGCTTACATTGTTCTGTTCTGATCTGCTCTGTTATGTCCTCTTTTGTGTTAATCTCTTTAAAATAAAAAATAAAAATTAAAAAAAGAGAAGGCATGTCCTCTGGACTTTTTCTTGGAGTCTCCTGGGCAGTTGAGAGGAGGGAGCCCCTGCACTACAGCAGATACCTCACTGGACAAATAGGAGAAGGCAGAATGTGATTGTTTCAAGCCCTCAGACAGATAGGACTACCCTGGGATGTCCCTCAGTTAGTCTGTTAGTCTGTCAGTTGCTGTCCCCTGTGTACAGATGAAGAAGGAACTCATCACTCTTGGTCTGTGTTAGGTCACTCAGATTCAGTTTCAGTCAGGCCTCACCCCTGGGGCTGGGGGCTCAAATATATTAACCTCTGTGTGCCTGCATGTGAATGAGTGTATATTTGTGGACAACATAAATGTGTGAATCCAAGGTCACCTGGACTCAGCTGGGAACTAGGAAAAAGTGGCCTAATCAGTCTAAAAACAAAAGTAATTTTTAAAGTGACTTGCACTATAACAGGTAAAGATATGAAAAAGCTGCTTAGGTTTAATACACCAGGCTATACAAATAGGGTGATGCAAATAGGTCAATAGAAGAGAGACAGAACACTTGAAAAGCCAGCTGGTCTGACAGCTAAGCTATAATGGAGACATAAAGCCAACAGACTTAGGTCCAACTGTGCATGCTGAGATAAAAGGGACGAAACAGGACTGTCTTTTCCTTTCAAAGCAAACAATGGAACAAAACAGAGCTCAAGCTTTCCTCCAGCCTTTGGGAGCCCCAAGACCAGTCCTTGCTTGAGGTTCACTGGCCTGACACACCCTGCAGGCATCTGAAAGCTGGGCATTCCAGCCAGAGGTGAATGTCCAAAGTCCTGTTGAGCCTAAGGAAATTTTAAAGGAG